TCAGATAATGATCTTTTTTTTTTCTACTTCACTTAGAAAATTAAAGCAAGTAAAAAAAGATTTCCATAGACTCTCACCACCCCCTCCAGAATCTGCACACATAAACTCCCACCTGCTTCTAGGGAGGATTTATTTATCATGTTCCTATTTAAAATTCAATCCTCCCATTTGCAAACCAGATTCTATCTTGTCTTAACTACTCAATGACATTATGCTAGCAATTCCTCTCTTAAATCATTAATTTTTCCATCTCTATCAAATCTTTCCCATCAATATACATATACACAATAAAATTATTTCTTCCACCTTCAGCTCAAACTATAAGAATCCTAGAAGAAAACCTAGGAATCACCATTCTGGACATTGGCCTTGGAAATAATTTATGACTAAATCCTCAAAAGCATTGCAGCAAAAATAGAATTTGACAAATGGGACCTAATTAAACCAAAGAGCTTCTGCACAGCCAAAGAAACCATTAACAAAATAAACAGACAACCTACAGAATGAGAGAAAACATTCACAATATGCATATGATAAAGTTCTAATATCCAGGATCTATAAGGAACTTAAACAATTCAGTAAGCAAAAAACAAATAACCTCATTAAAAAGTGGGCAAAAGACATGAACAGACGCTTCTCAAAAGAAAACATCCAAGCAGCCAACAAACATGAAAAAAATGTTCAACATCACTAATCATCAGAGAAATTGCAAGTCAATACCACAATAAGATACCATCTGACACCAGACAGAATGGCTATTATTAAAAAGTCAAAAAACAGCAGACACTAACGAGGCTGCAGAGAAAAAGGAATGCTTATACACTGCTGGAAATAACGTAAATTAGTTCAGCCACTGTGGAAAGAAGTTTGGAAATTTCTCAAAGAACTTAAAATGAAACAACTGTTCCACCCAGTAATCCCATTACTGGCTATATTCCCAAAGGAAAACAAATCATTCTACCAAAAAGACACATGCATGTGTATGTTCACTGCAGCAATATTCACAATAGCAAAGACATGGAATCAACCTAGGTGTCCATCAATAGTGGATTAGATAAAGAAAATGTGGTACATATACACCATCGAATAATACATGGTCATAAAAAAGAATGAACTTATGTCCTTTGCTGCAACATGGATGCAGCTGGAGACCATTATCCTAAGTGAATTAATTCAGGAACAGAAAAACAAATACCACATGTTCTCACTTGTAAGTGAAAGCTATGCATTGGGTACTCACAGACGTAAAGATGGCAACAGTAGACACTGGGGACTCCTAGAGGGGGAAGGAAGAGAGGTAGGCAAGGGTTGAAAAACTATTGGGTACTATGCTCACTACCTGGGTGACAGAATCAATCATACCCCAAACATCAGCATCACACAATATATCCATGTAACAAACCTGCACATATACCCCTGAATCTAAAAGTTGAAATTATATGAAAAATGATTTCTTCCATCTTATAAACAAGAATCTTTCTCTTAATCCTACTTCTCTTGCCTGACATTGCCTTACTCGCTTGCAAATTTGTCTCTCTTTCCAGCAAAAACTCCTTGAAAGAGTTTTCTGTACTCCTTCTCTCTAATTCTTCTCTTTCCAAACTTAATTGTATCTATTCCAATCCAATTTTTGGTCCTACCTAGTCTACCAAAATTGCAACAGTCAATTATCAATTCTCTTCTTATCTGACTTACTAGAATTATTTGATATATTCGATTCCTCTGCCCTCCTGGATAAACTTTCTTCATTTGGCTTCCAGAACACCCTACTCTTGATTTAATTTACTGGTCTATTTTATTGGTCAGTCCTCCTTCGTATCCTTTAATGGTTTTTCCTTTTCTTCCCAAACTTAATGATTATGCATTCTAGGATTCATCCTTTGTTCTTTTCTCTGTTTTTACTCATTCCTTTGGTAATCTCATCCAGAATCATGACCTTAAACAGTATCTCTATGCTGATGGCTCCCAATATTCCATCTCCAGCCTAGTAGTCTCTCCTGAACTTAGATTTGCATATTCAATTGGCTCCTCAACACATTCACTTGGTGTCATACCAACACTCACCAATGTTGAGTTTGAGCTGCTCTAATTCCTGATCTTCTTTCACCATGAAAACTGTTTTACCACCAACTTTCCCTATCTCAAATGATAGAAACTATGTTCTCCTGGTAGTTCAGGCCAAACATTTGACAATCACCTTTGACTTTTCCTTTATTACACCCTCTCACCCAACCATTCAGCAAATCTAGTTGGTTTTAGTTTTGTGTATATGCAGAACCCAAACGCTTCTCACTACTTTCAGTGCTACACCCTGGTCTGAGCCACCATCACCTCTCTCCTGAAATGCAGCAATATTCTAACATAGGGGACAGCAACGTTTTACATAGGGAATAATATAGTAAGTATTTCTTTGTTTCATGGGCCATACAGTCATTGTGGCAACCACTCACCTCTATTATGGTAATGCAAATGGGCCTGGCTATGTCCCAATAAAAGTTTATTTACAAAAAGCAATAAGCCAGATTTGGATCATGAACCATAGTTTACCAAGTCCTGGGCTAACTGGTCTCCTTGCTTCCATTCTTACCCCAGTTATCATTTCTTGACACAGAAGCAAGGAATCTTTTTAAGACACAAGTCATATGTCACTTCTCTGCAATGCTCCGCTTCTCACTCAGAATAAAAGTGAAAGTCCTTTCAATGACCTACAAGATCTGACATAATCTTGCCCCAGTCATATTCCTGAACCTCATATATGACTACACTCTCTCCTTCATTCACTGCTACAGCTGCACTGACCTCTTGCTATCTCTCAAATGGGCCACGTATGCTCAAGACTTAGGGCATTGCACTAGCTATTCCCTTTTCCCCCAGATCAACATGGCTTATGCCCTCATCTTTGCATTTCTTTTCTCAAATGCCACCTCTTCAATGAAGCCCATACCGACCACTCTTGGAAGTTACAAACATCCCCTGTGAATTCCAATCCCCTTTTCTATTCTATTCCCTTCCCCACCACTTTCTAACATAAAAACAATTCACTTATTTATATTTATGACCTCTCCACCTCTCCTAGAATATAAGCTCTATAAGGCCAGGAACCTTGGTTTTATTCCTGGATGTAGCCTGAGATCCTTGAGCAGTGCCTGGCACATAGTACGCATTAAAAAATGTGTTGAGGCCGGGCACGATGGCTCATGCCTGTAATCCCAGCACTTTGGGAGGCCGAGGTAGGTACATTACTTGAGCTCAGGAGTTCGAGACCAGCCTGGGCAACATGGCAAAACCCCGTCTCTACTAAAAATACAAAAAATTAGCCACACGCCCATAATCCCAGCTACTTGGGAGGCTGGGGCACCAGAATCACTTGCACGTGGTAGGCGGAGGTTGCAGTGAGCCAAGATCATGTCACTGCGCTGCAGCCTGGGCGAAACAGCAAGACTCTGTCTCCAAAAAACAGAACAAAACAAAACCAAAAAATGTGTTCAATGAATGAATCTCTGTAACCTCCCTCAAATCCCAGAGATGGAGTGAGTTATTCTTTTACCTATATTATTTTAACTTTTTGTATATACCACTCATTTAGTCCATTTTATACTGAATTATTACTATCATTTATGTATCTATCTGTACCATTACTGACCCATGTTTATTTGCTGAAACTAATACAGTGTCTGTCATGCAACAAAAGATCAAATTGTGCCAACTTAATGAATGTACAAAAGTGCCATATATACGTAGTTCTCTGACACCAAATTACTAGCTCTGGAAGTCAGCTATTGTTTTAAAAGTCTCTCCTCAACCCCCACTCTAAATACATGTATACACACACTCCACTAATAGAGATAATTTAAAACTATTTTTCACATATTTGCTTAATTAGCTTGCAGTGACCTCTGCAAAAACACTGGCCTCTGATGATTATAAGAGGTAGTTTTTTGGCATGGACACCAAAGCATCAAAGAGTCAGCTGGAACTAAGGAAAGCAATAACACAACTGGTTTTAATTACTCATGACAGGCAGCTGAAGATATCTGACACAGGCCTTCTCTCCAATACATCACTCAAAACAGGCCAGTTACAGGAAATGGTAGAGAGAAAAAAAAATCAAGATGGGGCCAAAATGTGTCCATAATACAAAGCAGATCATCTTTCACGTGGATGACCTTATTCACTTTGTTTTATATTTTTATGATGGGCCCAAATCTATAAAACTGCTGATGCTTTAAGACTTTGCATGCTTCTATGCCAGTGCTTAGGATTGGTGGCTCAGGTTCTCAAAAAAGGAAGTAGATGAAGAGTGCACCCATTCATGAATCACTATATAAATCAAGAGGTCCTCCAAAGTTCATCTAGGATTGCGGGCATGTTTGCAATTAGCTCATCTGTGACATCAGGTGAGCACCTTCTAATCAACATTCACAGAAGGATTAACGTCATCTATAACCTAGTTAGTTTCTTCTGACCTCTTGCATAGCAGGAAATGAGTAAGGATTTTGTTATTAATATAACCTACTCACAATTGCAACATATCTATCTCTCTTATCAAGTGTACACACTCACCTAATTAAACTATGGACTTCAGATTGCTCATATCCTCGGACTGTCTCCTCTTAAAAAAAAAAAAAAAAAAAAAAAAAAAAGGGAGGGCTGGGCGCGGTGGCTCAGGCCTGTAATTCCAGCACTTTGGGAGGCCGAGGTGGGCAGATCACCCTAGATTGGGAGTTCAAGACCAGTCTGACCAACATGGAGAAACCCCGTCTCTACTAAAAATACAAAATTAGCCAGGCATGGTGGCACATGCCTGTAATTCCAGCTACTCGGGAAGCTGAGGCAGGAGAATCGCTTAAACCCAGGAGGCGGAGGTTGCAGTGAGCCAAGATCGCGTCATTGCACTCCAGCCTGGGCAACAAGAGTGAAACTCCGTCTCAAAAAAAAAAAAAAGAGAGAGAGAGAGAGAGAGAAAGACAGAGAGATTTCCTAACTAGGCAGGATTTTACCTCAGGATCCAGTCTTGCTACAATCTTCTCCCAGACGCTTGCCCGATCCCAGTGTGCACCGAGCTTCTCGTTTCTGTGCACTTCCTGATTCTTGCCACTTGCATTGTTTGATTACTGTTTTGACCAGTCCTGCACACCGTAGTTTTCGTGAAACTTAAAAAGCCCGTCGTTTTTCCTGCTGCTTTGTTGATTCCTGTTTGATGCCTTCAGAAACCAAGAATATCCCAAGTCCTTCTACTTTTATTATCACCTTGCATTATTTCAGCAAAGCTTTTGAGTTCCTGAAGTGTAGTAGGAACGGTAATAAAGACTGAGCCTCTAACCGTGAATACTCCCATCAGGGAGCTCAGAATTTAACAGAGGAGATGGCAAGTAAACAGACGATTATGAAGTCACGGAAGTGCTGTGATATGGTAAGCAGAGGGGAACCCAGAATAGGGGTGCTTAGCCCAGCACCCAGGGAGTAAGGGAAGCTTTCCTGGAGTCAGCAACATCTAAGTGGTCTGGGCCTGACAAAAATTAAAAATAAAATATATATGCCAAGGAAGTAACATGTAAAAATGCCACAAATTATGGCTCCCTAAGGGACCTACAAGTACTTAAGTATAGGTGCAGGAGTGGAGAGGGAAGCCAGGGCCAAATCACAAAAGGCTTTATATGCCATTCTAAGGAGACAGAAATTCATCCTCTTGGTGGTGGAGAGTCATTGAAAGTTTAGCATCAAGATGATGCTAGCCTCATAGGAGGAGTTGGGAAGGAGTCCTTTCTCCTCAGTTTTTTAGAATAGTTTCTGTAGGAATGGTACCAGCTCTTCTTTGTACATCTAGTAGAATTCAGCTGTGAATCCATCAGGTCCTGGCCTTTTGTTGGTTGGTAGGCTATTACTGATTCCATTTCAGAGCTCATTATTGGTCTATTCAGGGAATCAACTTCTTCCTTGCTCAGTCTTGGGTGGGTGTATGTGTCCAGGAATTTATTCATCTCTTTTAGGTTTTCTAGTCTGTGTGTGTAGATGTGGTCATAGTAGTCTCTGATGGTTGTTTTTTTATCTGTGAGGTCAGTAGTAACATTTCCTTTATCATTTCTAATTGCGTTTATTTGGGTCTTTTTTCTTCTTTATTAGTCTAGCTAGTGGTCTATCAGTTTTCTTTTTTTTTTTTTTTTTTTTTTTTTTTTTTTGAGTCTCGCTCTGTCACCAGGCTGGAGTGCAGTGGCACCATCTCCACTCACTGCAAGCTTCGCCTTCCGGATTCACGCCATTCTCCTGCCTTAGCCTCCTGAGTAGCTGGGACTACAGGCGCCTGCCACCACGCCCGGCTAATTTTTTGTATTTTTACTAGAGACAGGGTTTCACCATGTTAGCCAGGATGGTCTCGGTCTCCTGACCTCGTGATCCACCCGTCCTAGCCTCCCAAAGTGCTGGGATTACAGGCATGAGCCACAGTGCCTGGCCTTTCTTGTTTTTTTTCCAAAAAAGAACAAAACAAAAAAACAACTCTTGGATTCATTGATCTTTTGAATGTTTTTTCGTGTTTCAGTTTCCTTCATTTCAGCTTTTTTGTTGTTGTTGTTATTTCTCATCTTCTGTTACCACTGGGGTTGATTTTTTCTTGCTTCTCCAGTTCTTTCCATTGTGAAGTTAGTGTGTTAATTTTAGATCTTTCTAACTTTCTGATGTGGGCATTTAGTGCTATGAATTTCCCTCTTAATATTGCCTTAGCTGTGTCCCAGAGATTCTGACATATTGTATCTTTGTTCTCATTATTTTCAAAGAACGTCTTGATTTCTGTCTTAATTTCATTATTTACCCAATATTCATTCAGAAGCATATTGTTTAATTTCCATGTAATTGCATGGTTTTGAGCAATTTTCAGTCTTCTATTTTTATTGTGCTGTGGTCTGACAGTGTGTTTGGTATGATTTCAGTTCTTTTACATTTGTTGAGAATTGTTCTATGTCCAATTATGTGGTTGATTTTAGAGTATGTGCCATATGGCAATCAGAAGAATGTATATTCTGTTGGTTTTGGGTGGAGAGTTCTGTAAAGGTCTATCAAACCCGTTTGACCTAATATTGAGTTTAGGTCCTGAATATCTTTGTTAATTTTCAGCCTTCATGATCTAACATTGTCAGTGGAGTGTTGAAGTCTCCCACTATTATTCTGTGGGAATCTATTTCTCTTTGTGGGTCTCTAAGAACTCGCTTTATGAATCTGGATGCTCCTGTGTTGGTTGCATATATATTTAGGATAGTTAGGTATTTTTGCTGAATTGGACCCTTTACCTTTATGTAATTCCCTTCTTCATCTTTTTTTTATCATTGTTGGTTTGAAATCTGTTTTGTCTGTAATTAGAATTTCTATGAATTTCCTATATCTAGAAAACCCCATAGTCTCAGCCTAAAAGCTCCTTCAGCTGATAAATAACTTCATCAAAGTTTCAGGATATAAAATCAATGTATAAAAAACATTAGCATTCCTATACACCAACAACAGTCAAACCAAGATCCAAATCAGAAGGCAATCCTACTCAAAAATGTAACAAAAAGAATAAAATACATAGGAATACAGCTAACAAGGGAGGTAAATGATCTCTACAATGAGAATTACAAAATACTGTTCAAAGAAATCAGAGAAGACACAAACAAATGGAAAACACTCCATGCTCATGGAAAGAAAAAATCAGTATCATTAAAATGGTTTTACTGCCCAAAATGATTAACAGATTCAATGCTATTCCTATCAAACTACCAAAGACATTCTTCACAGAACTAGAAGAAACTATTTTAAAATTCATATGGAACCAAAAAAGAGTCTGAATTGCCAAGGCAATCCTAAGCAAAAAGAAGAAAGCTGGAGGTATCATGTTACCCTACTTCAACAAGGCTAGAGTAACCAAAACAGCATGTTACCGGTACAAAAACAGGCACATAGACCAATGAAACAGAATAGAGAGACAAGAAATAAGGCCACATATCTGCGACCATCTGATCTTCGATAAAGCTAACAAAAAATGAGCAATGGGGAAAAGACTCCCTATTTAATAAATGGTGCTGGGATAACTGGTTAGCCATTTGCAGAAAATTGAAGCTGGACCCCTTTCTTATACCATATACAAAAATGAACTAAGAGGAATTAAAGACTTAAATGTAAAACCCAAAACTATAAAAACCCTGGAAGACAACCGAGGGAATACCATTCTGGGCATAGAAACAAGCAAAGATTTCATGAAAAGCACACCAAAAGCAATCACAACAAAGCAAAAATTGACAAGTGGGATCTAATTAAACTTAAGAGCTTCTGCACAGCAAAAGAAACTATCAACAGAGTAAACAGACAACCTATGGAATGGGAGAAAATACAAACAATGCATCTGACAAACATCTGATATCTGGCATCTCTAACGAACTTAAATTTGCAAGAGAAAAACAACCCCATTAAAAAATGGGCAAAAGGATATGAACAGACACTTCTTAAAAGAAGACATGTGGCCAAGAACCACATGAAAAAAAGCTCGATATCACTGATTATTAGAGAAATGCAAATCAAAACCACAATGAGATACCATCTCACACCAGTCAGAATGGCATTATTTAAAAGCCAAAAAATAACAGATGCTGGCGAGGTTGCAAAGAAAAAGTAACATTTATATACTGTTAATGAGAGTGTAAATTAATTCAACCATTGTGGAAAGCAGTATGGCAATTCCTCAAAGAGCTAAAAGCAGAACTACCATTCCACCCCTCAGCAATCCCATTACTGGGTACTTACCCAGAGAAATATAAATCACTGTACCATAAAGAAACATGCATGTAAATGTTCATTGCAGCACTATTCACAATAGCAAAGACATGGAATCAACATAAATGCCCATCAATGACAGATTGGATAAAGAAAATGTGGTACATACACACCATGGAATACTATGCAGCCATAAAAAAAGAATGAAATCATGTATTTTCCAGGAACATGGATGGAGCTGGAGGCTATTATCCTTACCAAACTAATTCAGGAACAGAAAACCAAATACTGCATGTTCTCACTTTTAAGTGGGAGCTAAATGATAAAAATTTATCAACACAAAGAAGGAAACAACAGTCACTGGGGTCTACTTAGCAGCGAGGGTGGAAGAGGGAGGGAAGCAGAAAAAGTAACTGTTGGGTACTGGGCTTAATACCTGAGTGATGAAACAACATGTACAACAAACCCCTGTGACATGTGTTTACCTATGTAAGCAACCTTCACATGTACCCCAAACCTAAAATAAAACTTTTGGAAAAGGAAGTTTATACATGGCATGATCAGATTCATATTTTAGAAGGACTGGCATCAATGCGGACAATGGATTTCATCATCCAGCGATTTCCCTTGAACCTGGTCCATACTTTTGCTTCCCTTGCCTTACCTTTCTGTGGTTCTGAGGAGCTCAGCTCCACACCTCTTTCCCATCAATGTCCTCAAACAAAACTAGTGATCAGAATCAGTGACCAACTTAACAAAACCATATATCATGGGGATCAAGTTTGAGAATCTCTATAAGTCTCCCTCAAGTGATTCTGAGGCAGCTGGACTATGGACCAGTATTTAGGAAATAATATAGGTTGTCATTTGTATCACTAGTTTTCAGATGTGTTGATAAGCTTGAGCAGTGTGTTTCGCTTACTCAATTAGATTGAAGAGGACTGGAGTAGGTCGCATGCTAAATGTCTTCTTTCCACAGTTTCTGTGACTCTACTACCAAAGGCAGAAAAATCAGTCCTTTACTTGCATCCTTCAAGAACTTCCACTTGTTCTTTGAATAACATGTCCAAACCTTAACATGACCTATAGTGTACATGATCTGGCTCCAGTTTCTCTCAAGCCACCCTTTACTTTGTACCCGTTATTAACAATATAAAGCCAGGTCAGGGGAGAAGGGGTGTTGATACTGTTTACTCCCAATGTCTACTTTCTCAATTAAGTTAAGCATAGATACGGAATTGGGAAATTGGACAGAGCAATAAAAATCTGAAAAATTTCTAAGGAGAATAGTATGTGATTTAGGATGAGAAAAGGGAATGATGGTCAACCTCAATGACCCAACTGAGTTGAAAGTCAGGTATCAGTATCGGCAGGAAAATTATGTCATTCCTTCCATAAGCTCAGAAACCCATAGCAGAGAATATTGACAACTGTGTTAATCAGCTTGTGAATATTGGCAAAGCAGAAAGTCAAGGGTTAAGAGAATTAAGGATACTGGTGAAAGAAATAGAAAATTCCCAGGATGAGCCTAAAAAAAAGATTCTGCTAATGTGCTCTAAGAATTACAGAGGCCTAAAACATGAGTACCATTGTTTTGCTGCACTTAGGCTGTTTGGTAATGGTTTACCATTCGATTTAGTTCTGGTCCCTGGCTTGCTTGTCATGGAATCAGTGGCATGCTACCCTAGAGCATGGCAAGTAACATACCACAGCTGTAAGATGCCAAGAGCAGAATAGGTGAAGTAATTTTCCAGCACAGTAAATGAAACTACCAAGGTAAAGCTACAACAAAGTATCAAATGTTTTATCATAATTGTTTTCCTCTTAAATTACAGCTGTGACCTGAAAATACTATTTTATGATGATAGCATATCCATGTAGTCTATCTTCTTTACTTAAATTGATTATTTTCATTGCATGAAGACTCAATACATATCAAGCACAAATGTGCTTCCATGTGAAGATGTTGAAGTGTTTTAAAGACAACAGCAGTTATATTTAGCATTCTGCTAATAAAAATTGAATTACATTTTTTGAATAATTTTAGATTATTTTTAATTAAACCAATGTCTAGCTAGTTCAGTTTTCAGGTTTATCATTTCCTTGTCCATTTGTTTTGCTGCTTCTCTTTCCAATATATATTCATATCAATCAAGACCCCAGGAGCAGCTGCAATGAACCAAGCAATGTTGAAAACCAAAGACTAAAATTAGATTATCAATGACATTTACTTATATGTTAAAGGCTGAAATTTCAGGGCACAACATTTTCTCCTGAAAGGAGATACTTCCCATCACTGTAATGCAGATCTCTGTTACCAAATTACATCCATATTACATCACTGGGTAGTAAAACTGACCCAAAATAGAAAGTGAAACCAAATACCTTTTCTGCCAAGAGAAAGGCTAAAGACAAAATTAAATAATGGATTTGTGTTCACAAGATTATTTTGACTAGTGTCTTCTTAATTAGAGGGAGATGTTTGTTCAAGAGAAGTAGTAGTACCAAAGAGGAAGGAAATATAATGTAACTGACATGAAAGTGGGGAAAGGAGTCTAGATTTTCTCCCACCCCTGCCCCCACCAGAATACTCTATAATAGTAATTATCAGGGAACAAGATAGTTTGGAATATGTGGGCATTGTTTCTTTTCCTCTTTTGTGTGTGTTTGAGTAAACAAATGCTTTATTTGAACAACCCCCAAAGCTAAATTGTTTTCCTTGACCCACAGAATGCTGATTTGATCTTGTGATGAAAAAAAAAAAAAAACACCTTTTTTGCCAAGGATGTTGTTAAAGACGATTTTTACAAATACTGATGCAGGCCAGCTGTCCTTTATGCCTTCTGATTTTATGCATGCTTGTACAGTTTAGACACATACAAACAGAGTTAAAGCACGTTTCCTGATATGTCACTTTTTTTTTTCCAGAAAATCCGCAGAATTTCTGCACGTCTCATCAGAGTGTGTACATTGTATAACCACTGAAAACAGGTACATATTATATCATAAATTATTTCCAGACATACATTGTATCCCTTTTCTCACCTTCCCTATCTGCATTACAAGGGGCACCTGGAAGGATAGCAGCCCTGTCCCAAAGCACCACTGCCCAGTCCGGGCGTTCATTCCCACTGCTTTTTCAGGAGTGTCTGTCGCTGTGCAGTGCGAACATCCATACGGGGATGCACTGCTCTGGGAAGCCCTCCTGCTTCTCCTGGCCCAGCACCACCAGCCCACTCTTCCTTATGAGGCTCCGGAAGATGTCCATGTCCCGAGTCACACTGCTGTCAGAGAGATCGAGGATACAGCCCTCCCGGGCCACATTGTCCTTCAATATGATGACGCCATTTTCTTTCAGGCCATCTCGGCACCGGGAAAGAAATGCAAGAAGGTCCTTATCAGTCAGGTGCCCTACAAGGGGGACCAAGTGGATGGGGGAACAGGATGATATGGTAGGGAGGATGGAAGATGAGTAGGGAAGAACACGGCTGAGAATCAGGAGACCATTTGTTCACTCATTCATGAGTTATTTAATAGCCTCGTTTAGTTACAGGAGGCTTTGAAAATTTAGATAAGGGGACACATATCCTCTTAGAGAAGACTCTGTCCCCTGTCTGTAAAATATATTATCCTACCTAGCCTGTCGACCTCATACGCATGAGATAAATTATTGTCTACCCCCACAAGTCCCTCCCTGTCCCCTGGAGAACCCCTCTATTACTATATCTTTGTGTCACACACACACACCCCAAAATCGAATTCACTGCTGTCTCGTTTCCTGGGAATTTAAATCTAAGAATGTCTAGTTCTGCCAATAAATGGGGATTAATCTTTTTGACTGCACTTTTGAAATTTTTTCAAGTAATTAGATTTCTTTGAGGATTTAGGTTGGTCCAAAGGCACTTGCTCCATTTAGGTTGGTTCGAGAACCAACGTAAATCCTCAAAGAAATGTAAATTTATTGTACAGAAAATGTCAAGGGAGAAATCTGGAAGATCAGAGTTTTGTGGGAGTTCACATGACACCTAAGGGAGCTAACTGCTCGAAGTACTACAACTAACTCTTCCCTGGTGCCCTCATTAGCCCCAAGCACCGTCTTCTCTGGCTGAAAAGGGGAGAATAGCAGAGCCAAAGTCATGCAGGACTAACCAGAGACCCACTGAATCCAGATGACATCATATCTCCTGAACGGGGGTGTGAATTCCTGCAGGCTGTAGCAGTGGTAGCTTTCTACTTTGTCACCTTTGACCTGCAGGTAGTTCTGGGCTTCAAGGAGAAAGGATTCCATCATATCCACCAGCTCCACACTGTTGAAAACAGGCAATAAGACGTGTTTGCTGACCCTTCCTATCCCGGAGCCGCAGTCCAAGGCGCAGTCTGTTCCAGCTCTCCCAGGCCCCTGCAGAAAGGCACCTTGATATTTCAAGTACAGAGACCCATCCTTGAAAATTGCACACCCTAGTTACCTCTTTAAATCAACTTTATTAGGTAAATTTTATGCAATAAAATGTACCATTTCTTGTATACAATTTGATGATTTTGGACAAATGTATATAGTCATGCACCTACCACCACAATCAAGATATACATTCAATTATCTTTTCAAAAAATCTAAATATTTCTAGTCCTGCTTTCTTTATCCAAATAAAGAATTATAAATGAGATTTTTAAAAAATAGTATCTTAGGTTTACACACTTGGTAATTTTCTCCAAAAAAAAAATGAGCCATTGCTAGCCCTATGAAGATTAAATGTTAATGACTAAATTTGAGACAAATCCACAGGTAAATGGTTCTACACTATAGATTATTGCCGTGTAAGCAAAAAATAACCAAACAGTGAGAACCTTTCCGAGTTTTAAAATTAAAGACTCATTCAATGGAAACATTTCAGTTTGGAATAGTTGAATTTTATCTTTTCTAGGCAAATTTTGAAGGCTCTGAATTATCTACTCCTCTTGGGTGGATGGTAAGTTTGGGAACCTGAGCTGAACAATGTTAACTTTTCCATTCCTGGCCAGGATTTTATTTCAAATACAGCCCTGATGGCACACAGCAAGTTCACATGGATAAAAGATAGTTTCGGCAAAGTTTCCTTGTGTCTTTTAATGCTAAACATTTTTTTCTGGGTTTTTTTGGCACCAGAAACAACATGATTTATTTGGCATAAAAATTCTAAAAACAGTTTTTTTAAGTATGTCTGTGCATTAATTTAGCTGGGAGTGAGGGGATGGGAAGATGGTGGAGGTAGGGAGAAATCAGCCAATACAAACTTTCTCAAACTTGCTTCCATAAAACTTAAAAAATGTTTCTGATTTATGAAGATTCAGCTGGTCTAAATTATTTGGTCATAATTGGGATGGCTGCTGAAGCAGTTTTGTGCTAGAAATTACAGTAACAAGATACTTGAAGTTGCCAATCAAGATCTTAAGGGAAAAGCCTACTCTTGATTTCTCAGGAACTAAGAATAAAAAAAAAAAATTGGCTAAGGATCAAAGGTGAAATACAAACAGAGGGAAACATCAGAAAACCAGCTTTCTAGTCCACCCAAATGGCCTTCGTTATGCTAGAAAAGTACAATGAAGAACAAAAAGTGAAGGAACTGTAACTTCTTTCAAAATGGATAATAATAGCCACAATTATTATTTATACATAGCAAGCTCTTAGCTATAATAATTATAATAAGAAAACTCCACAATATCGATTATTATCCTCATTTTGGACATGAGAAAATTCCGATTTCTAATATTTCATAACTAATGTCAGAATTAGAATTAGAACAGGAACTGTCTGAATCCAAAGCCAGTTCTACATTAGAGATGTCACCTCAAGTGATAACTCTGATTCTCTTGGTAATATCTGTCTAATGCTATGTTTCAAAGAATTACAAGGCTTCATTTAGACAGTAGAAAAGAGATCTATGATAGATTAGTGATGTCTGCCTCAAGCATGAGAAGGGGAAGTGGTAGTATACTGCCATATGTTTGCCATTTTTACTTATACTGTGCCACATGTCACATTCAAATATAATTTAGACTAAGCTAATTCAGAAAAAGGCCTAAGTATGAATGCTGTGAAAGAAGCATCTTCTAAGTAAATTCATAACAAAAAGATGGGCAGTAGATGGAGAAATTATGTCATTATTAGAAATGACTTTACTAAAAATGTGTATGCTCAATAAGAGATTCTCATTTCAAATTTTTCTTATTATTACTTGGCCTTAAAAGCCTCTATTGGTCACGTTGCTCTCATTAGTGTAGAAAGCAGTTTTAGAAGTAGAATCCTGGAACAACAAAGCACCCTGAACTTTATTGGACACCATGGCTGCCTGAAACTGTGATTGTATTGAAATCTGATGCCCTTGAATGCATATGACTAGAACTACATGCAATGTATGATTTCAAAACAAGACAGTCTTTTTTTTCTTTTTTTTTTTTTTTGAGATGGAGTCTTACTCTGTCACCCAGCCTGGAGTGCAGTGGCGGGATCTCAGCTCACTGCAACCTCCACCTCCCGGGTTCAAGTGATTCTTCTGCCTCAGTATCCTGAGTAGCTCAGATTACAGGTGTGTGCTAGCTATTACACCCCACTAATCTTTGTATTTTTAGCAGAAATGGGGTTTTACCATGTTGGCCAGGCTGGTCTGGAACTCCTGGCCTCAGGTGATCCACCCACCTCGGCCTCCCAAAGTGATGGGATTACAGACGTGAGCCCATTTCGTTATTTTCATTTTCATTTATTATGCCATGTTTATATTTATGAATCCATATAAACTAGTAAAACATTATTAGGAATTTCAGTTTAGTTTTGATTCTGCCTATGTATTTTGTTTTGAAGAACATTATTTTAGGTTTATCCAGTGGAGCTAAAAAACTAAAATGAAAGGGCCTCATGTCACTATAAAAACTATAAAATATAACAAGTTAGTAGACCCAGATTTTTTAGCTATCCAATCTCTGAGAAATGCCAAAAAATAAATACTATCAAATAAATACTGATGACTTTCTATGAATTACTACTTTTGCCCACTAGAAAGCTAAAACAGGAAAGTTATCAACTATGGCATTGACATCATCTTGATGTCATTTGTTTATTTGCTAAAGTAAATACATTTGCAACTAGTTTAAACACCTTTTCCCACTGTCTCTTGTCATTAAGTGCTGAAAGGAAAGCAAAACTTTAAACAATCTTCTTTTTGCAGTTGACGCGAGAATAAGTCATGTCAGATACTCGTATTCCCTAACTCTTTGTATCTTGACCTGAATACTAATCTAGTAGATTAGAGTATGAAGGTCAAAGTACCAAAATATCAGTCCTTAAAAAGGACTGTGTTTGTGCTTAGAAGTCACAGTTTTACAATGAGCCTTGTCTACTAAAAAGGACTCCTTATATTTGTTTCAAAGGAGCAGGCTGCCTCTTTTCCAACATAAATATGCTAGCACAAGGCTGTTTCCTTTCCCAGGTCTGTGGGCGTGCTTATGGGCTCTGTCTGACCAGCATCCCTGTGGTAGCTTGGCATTCCACACGGAGTGACAAGACAGCTGGATTACTAACTAAGCTTCTGAAATGCTTTGGGATCAAAGTTGGCCTCACCACGAGGAAAGCAGGAGGGATTGCTTTCAGCCAGGCCGGAGGAGAGTCAAGGTCTATGGTCCACCAAAAAAGTAAATATATAAATAAATAAAGCAGGGATTTTTCAGTTTCATGAGACAAATGGAAAAAATATGTCATGGTTAACAGCAGGGAGTTTGATGTCAGGCAGACCTGGCTGGGCTTAATTCCCCATTCTGTCTCTTACCAGCTGTGTAATCTTGACAACTTATTTAACCTCTTCAAGCCTCAGTTTCCACAACTATAAAAAACAGAACTAATAATAGCACTTACTCCAAGAATTCGCATGGGGAGTAAATGAGACAACGCTTCTAAAGTGCTTAGCAGATTGACTCTCGCAGAACCAGCATTCAGTGAAGCCAGTCAGCAACACTGATTTAGAAATACTCCAAGTTAACCTAACCTGTAAATATCCACGGTCTTCATCCCTAGACTCTCTAGTCTTTTATGGCTGAAGCTAATGTCCAGACACTTTGGCCCCAGTAAATACATCATCCTGATCACATTTTTATCCACTGTCAGGCTCTGGACTCACACACTGGGTGCTCCAGGGAGATTGGATTTGAAGTGAACCTCACCTCAACACTAGAGATATTAATGTTTTGCTACTAAATTGGTTGATGGCCTAATGTTTATATTTCCTTTATCAGAATAAAATGGGCACCAAATCTCAAACCAATGACTTTGTAATGTGTTGGAACAAAACCTGTTACCAATTAGAACTTTGCATCTTCGATAGAACTAACAGCAGCTTTATCTTGGGGGTTAAGTCTTTTCTGCTGTTGTTTTGTTCTGTTTTGTTAGTTTGTTTGTTTGTTTGAGATGGAGTCTTGCTCTGCCACCCATGCTAGAATGCAGTGGCACGATCTCAGCTCACTGCAACCTCCGCCTCCCGGGTTCAAGCGATTCTTCTGCCTCAGCCTCCCGAATAGTTGGGACTACAGGCGTGCAATGCCACGCCTGGCTAATTTTTGTATTTTTAGTAGAGACGGGGTTTCACCTTATTGGCCAGGCTGGTCTCGAACTCTGACCTCGTGATTCACCCACCTTGGCCTCACAAAGTGCTAGGATTACAGGTGTGAGCCACCACACCCAGTCTTTCTTGGGAGTTAAGTCTTTTCTAGCAACTAAATGAAGTTCCTTAAAATAGAGTGAATACATTATATGAAAGCCTGTTATTAGTAGTGATAGTAATAAATTAGCTTGATTGGGTACTAATTTTGTGCACTAAAGCAGGTACCTGACATGTATTATTTCGTTTGATCTCCACATTATCCTGTGAAGTAGCTTCTATTGTCATGCCCTAGTCACAAGAGAGAAAACTGACACTTGGTACATTTAAGTAACAAGCTCAAAGTTGCTTATACATTAAGCAGAAGAACCACAATAGCCTTAAAGCCCAAAATTTTGACCCCTACAATATACTGTCTGTATTCATATGACATGACAGTAAGGAAGTAGGGGTTGACTCAATGCAGGACTACAAAAGGATAACATTCTTTCAAGGTAAAATAAAAACTATGTATAAAATAGTATAAAAGGATTCTACTTTCATTGTTTTTAAACTGAGCATAATCATGTATTTCCTTCCAACATCTCATTTTTATTACAGGGAGTCAATAAGTCAACCCAAGATCCCAAAGGACATGATCTCTCATCAATCATTTGGGTATGAAATGTTTATGAGACTCTAAAAGAGATATCTTCTTCATTCCCAAATTTTATATCAACACCGCTAATTCACCTTCCTCTGGAGCATGTAAGATTAGTTGGCGATAGGAGAGTGAAATGCCAAGTGGGATAAACGAGTGTTACTATATTTATCATATCATAAATGGTTCATCCTTTCTGAACATCTTAAAACAGGCTTGCAGGCAGAACTCTTGGCTGGGTCATATGGCTTAGTCGTGACTTAAGTAACAACACAGAGGCATGTGAGCTCAGTGTTTGCAATGACTTTGCCTTCTCATCAAGCTGCAGTTGAATAACTCACCCCAATAAATTTCCTAAGAAATTTCCGAGAGGCCTGGATGTCTGGACCGGACAGTTCAATGAAATTTCCCATCATACCCTCTTCTGTGGCTGGTACTTCCTGGTAGAAGAGTTTTGCTCTGGCATAGAACTGCATCTCGCCATTGATGACTTGGCTCGTTAAAGCGTACAATTTCACTGCAAATGAAATGTTATTAATATTTATAAGAAAAAAAGCTCAGCTTTATGCGTTGCATTTCCTTTTAAAAGCCTGTGAATCTGTGCTGTGGAGAAAAGAGCACTAGTTTGAAGTCAAAAGATTTGGGTTTGAGTTTTGGCTCCGTGACTTACATGCTATGTAATGCTGGGAAAATGTCTTAACTCCTCTGATCTTCAGAGATCGCATCTATGGATTACAATCATGTGGCATTTTCATGACTTAATAACTCTATAGTTGAATAAACCCATAGCTATATCAGTGTATTAAAATTTTTAACAGTGTTAGCTACAATAATGTAAAGAATGTCATCAGTTTTGTGGTGAGTTTTATCCCTGAGTTCCAAATGTTTTCTGAGAATTTTCTCATTAAGCTTATAATAAAGTTTAATGAAAAAATTACTTTACTTCTAATCGTAAGGTAGGGGTAACTGTTTTATATCTTTTTCAAACAATACATATCCAAATATGTCTTCATACCAATATTACAGAAATGTGCCTGAATTCTACATTGTGAAAACAAAACAATAAAAGAGACATAATATTTATTGTGCAGCCATTCTGTCCTAGGTAGTGTGCCAGGCACATTCACATACACTTTGTCATTTTATTATTTTCAAAAATGTATAAGAAAAATATGTGTTCCAACTTCTGAGGAATAAATGAGACTACACATAAGTGTATTTTGCAAACCAAAATTCACCCATGCAGATATAAAATATTTTCATCATAAGACATTCATAATAAAACGATAGACAGTAGATTAAAGGATGGAACTTCTGGTTCAAGATTGTAGGCTGAGTACATGCATTTGTCTTCTCTCCCTCCCAGTATTCCCTGAGAACTATCTTAAAACACTAAACCCATAATAGTGAGGAAAATGAGAGGGTATCACTGATGGATTCATGATTACAATAAATTTCTGGACAATAAAAAGCAGATGGAACAAAGCAAAAGAATTTGCAGGCCAAAATATTTGCAAGAGGAAATTACATTCCGGACTTAGAATCAACAGGAAGGCAAGTGTAAGAATGAGAATGGAAGTCAAAAAAACAAAAACGAAACAAACAAACAAAAAAACAGCATAAATCAAAACTCTGTCTAGAGAACAAACAGGTAAGAGGACAAGTGCACCCTCCTAAAAGCAGCAGAAAGCACAGCTGTAATCCTAGAAAGGGAAAATGTGTCTGTTGTCTTTTAAAAGAATAAGTAGATCAATTGCCTAGGAAGAGCTAGACCAGTTAGCATTAAAATGTTAGAATACTACTCATTTTCACATATAGAAGACTCCAAGTGCTGTCACTTACACCCATTCATCAGAGTCTGGTAAAATCTACCTGCACATGTAGGGCTTCTTGTCTATTTAGGGGACAAGTACAAAACAAAGGAAACCTTATCCATTGCCTAGAATTATTTACCTTGTTTTTTATTCTTAAATGTGGATAAATGATCTCCAAACACATGAGAGTAAAGTAGCAGCCTGAAAAACAAAGAGTGAGATAAATAGTCAGAATTGACCTCAAAGAAAACAAAAATAATTCAGGAAATGGATGAGAATTTAAGCCAAAACAAAACAAAAAAACTCATATATCTTTGAAGACATATGAGAATAGGCACATCCATAAATTAAAGATAAGATTCCAAGAAAATTATAATTAAAAGAGCAGTAAAGAATTATTAGAAATTAAAGTTTTGATAACCAAAAACTTTAAGATATAAAGTTAGGTAAATTTCCAGAACATAAAACAAAAAGATAGATATGCAAAACAGAAATAAGAAGACTAGACTTATATAAGCAATTCAGAAGGCCCAACATCAAGCTAATTAGAATTCCAGAAAACTAATAAAATGAAGGGAAGAAAATTATTAAAGAAAGTAATAGAAGAAAATTCCCTGGTGCTGAAAGAGATTGTAAGATCCAACAAAGCGCTGAGGTGCATAGATTTTTTTTAAAGCCACATTTAAGCACATCTTTAAGAGATTTCAAAACAGAAAGAGTAGTAAGAAGATCTAAAAGTCATTTAGAGGAGGAAGAGTGGCTGACCTTCAAATAGGGTTGCAACATTTAGGGGAAAAAAATACACAACACACAGATTTGAACTTCAGACAAATAATGAATAATTTATTGGTTTGAGTATGCCTGAAATATTGCACATTCCAGGGTAAATACTTACACTAAAAATTATTTGGTGATTATGTTAAAATTAAACTTAGCTGGCATCGTGTATTTTATTTGGCAACTCTATGTTCAAAAGACTAGAATCAGGCTTATATCACAGATCTCATCAGAAACACTAGAAAACAATGGCACAGTGCCACCAATATTCTGAGATCAAATTTTTGGAAACTAAACTTAATACCCAGTCAAATTGTCAAAGAATATTTACCTCCTATAGATTCATTCTTCAGAAGTTTCTTGAAGCTATATTCCAGCCCAATGAGGGTTACAATCAAGAGAAGATGCATGATGAAAGATGATGTAATTAACCAGGAATCCAATGAAAAGGAATCGCAAAATGACAGATATGTATCAGATCTGGAAAGAAATCAGTTTATATTACAAGACAAAACATAGACTTCAAAAATAATATCTTTAAGTAGAATAAGCTAGATCCAAGGCAACAGAGTAGGCAAGAAGCAAGGAGATATTAGAAATATTCTAAGGAAGACATATTTTTAATCTAAACCACCAAAAATAAAAGATAATTGAAAGCTCCAAGAAAAATATACAATGGTTCAAAAATGTTATGATCAGGGCATGAAGCAAGCCAAAATATGGCATAAATTTGGGTAGAAGAAATCAAAGAGAAAAATACCTATTTCACTTTAAGAACATTTTTCTTCAGATAATCCCAGGACTGAGATGTTGGATGGTGTTCAGAATTGAACAATTACATAGTTCCAAATTTTGATTCTAAAAGTTAAAAATCCAAAAAATACCACTTATATTACTATGACTGTTTCCATCTATGGAGTTGCATCAGCATTTTCCAACTTGGAGACACTGGAGCCAATGTTTGTACCCTGAATCACCATGAATTTGCTGAAAGGGATAACAAGAACAAGAATCAGTTTCCATGTAATACATCATTTTCTGGAGGCCACCAATATTATTTATATCCTCCATACATATTAACTATTATACATAGATTGTTATTTTAAAATTCAAATGTTTTAAAAGTTTAAATAAATACATAGAAGCTTTTTTTTGCTATTTTATACACAAATTAGCTACTGATTGAGAAACTACAACATTAAAAGAATGGTCCTTATGTTCAAAAACATTGAGAACCATGGACCTACACCAATCTCCCTTCCCTAGCACTTGGTAAAGTGTTGTGTACACAGCAAGTGACTTAATAAGTGCTTATAAATTCAACAGGGATGACAAAAATCAGGCATCGCCAATAATATGACTGTTCCAAATTCTTCTGGATGTCTCAGAAAATCAGGCTAGGAACTCACAGCTCACAGAGGTTGCCCAGGGTTGGATGCTGCTCTGGGATCATTGGCAAGCCATAGCCCAGGGCTCTCTTGATCCAACCAAAGCAGCAAAGCAGCCACACTCATCATCACCTGCTTAAGTCAACTGGTTTGTGCAGTCTATTAAAATCCTTAATCTAGAAATAGGAATGGTCCATTATGCCAGCAACATTTAGACCACAAGTGAATGCCAATCTCAGCAGGCGTCAGACTCAATAGGTGGGCTTTTATGGTTATGGACTTGAGTTCTCATTTTCACCTAATTGACAGCAGCATTTCACTAAAAAAAAAGATAAATGAGGTGTCATGTTCGGCCCCAGGTTCTCCCCTCCTGAAAGCTTCTGCAGTTGTGCATATTGACTCAGATAAGTCAATCAGTCACCAGCACATGGCTTTTTACTATACAAATATATATACTGGCTAATTAAAGAATTACAATGTCTCTGTGAAACCTGGGGTAGTTCAAGACAAAAACTAGACACTGTTTGTTTTTTATTTAATGTAGTATTTATTTATTTCTTGACCTACATTATGAGTTGAATTCCCAAGGAGCTTCCACTATTTACTTGTGGTGAAAAGAAAAATAGAGTACGAGTTGGTTTACTCTGAAGGAGAATAAAAATGAAATTTCTAGGAAAGGTTAATATCCAGGAGAGTTTACATTGAAAGACAATTCATTCATGATTCAGTTATTAAGCCCCAATACAACATTCAGGATATAAACATAAAGCTCAATCTCTCTCATGGAGATTACACCCTAGCATGGAGGAGTTAAGTCACATGGCTGCATGCCCAAAGAATAGTACCAAAAAATGCCTTGGGCATGCAGCAGATGCCTGCAAGTAGCAGCAAGAAGACTCCATAAGACTTTAACCATGAAGGATACTTTTTATTTGGGTTATCAAAAAATGAGCAGGAAAGAAATGTCACATGGCATGAATTATCTGGATAAAACTCAGAATTTTCAAATGCCTACTTGAGAAAATCTTTTGCAGGTAGCAAAAGAATTTTGTGTCTTATGGTCTCATCTTCTGACTCTTAAGATGCAAAGAAGTAAGTTTACCTTGAGGCAATGTGCCATTTGATGACTTTTGCTGTCTTTCAATATAAAAATTGGGAGAAAAACAAAATAGTCACTCAAAATCTTAATCCAGACATGAAAGGAAATATTGATCCAGTATCAGAGATAGGGACAACAAGTCAAGACAATATTATCCAAGATGGCAATAAAATGAAGACTTTCTGACAAACAAGAAATTTTGTTGATAGCTAAGTGCTTATCTGTGCTGAGTATCCTCTTTTCTTTCTTCTTTTTTTAAGTGGTTGAATATAGCTATTTTAAAATACCTCTCTATTCCAGCTATTAGACCTGTTTGTCAATTTAAACATGATCTAAAATTCTTCAGAATATTTGTAAGCTAGGTTTAGACAGTAATTTTGAAATGATTTGAGTCTGGTAATATTTGATCAAGTTAGACCTTTGCAACAGAAAGAAAAAA